CTGATGTTCACGATTCATTATTTGCATTTTCAATGTCATCGCTTGCCATGGAAAATTGAAAGATTTTACTTAGGAAACTAGTTTTTGATTAACGTTTTCATAAGGAATTAAAGTTAATTAAAGCACGGCTTAATAAGGCAAAGAGTTAAGGGGCAGGAGGTCAGTCAGACAGAGGTTACAACAATCCGGAAGGGAGGAAACCAGCACTTATCTTGAGGTTGATGGATGAAGGGGTGGAGAAAGGTGGGTGGATGGGAGAGCTTCACGGGAACACAGAAGTAACAGGATCCAGGCATCTTTTAGCTGCCTGAGGGCAAGCGACTGAGTCTTCCAACCCCAGTAGATGATAAACTCCTTGAGAGTAAAAACCTGAACCTTTGTTATTTTTATGACCCTGCTCAGTGCAGTACCCAGCAGTTAGTCTGATCTAACAAGCCTTTGTTGAATTGCTAGATAAACCTGTCATATAACACAGCAAAATCAAAAGGAAGCTCTTTCAGCATCTCTGCTTTTTAACCTCTCATTTTTTACCTTGTTGCTGACTTGCTTTCCATTGCTTTTCGATTGCCAGTGAAAGTACATATTTGTTTTGTGCAGAGTGAAATGCTTTAAATAATTTAAAATATAAAAAGTAATGAAAATATCTCCTATTTCTTAATGTTGGGCTTTTTTCCATGAGTACACAGCAGTGAAGTTTCATCACATCAGATACAGCCACTGAATTGTATGAAATTAAGTGTCATTTCATGGAAGTCTAATCCACTTCCAGTTAGACATTGTGAATTTGTTTCTTTTTTAAAATTAACTTTTCTATATATTATATGGCTTTTAGTGGGAAATAAGATACGATGACAAAATATTTAATGCAGTCAGCACAAAAAGTTTACTCTTTTAAAATATGACTGTTTACAAACGGATGCTTTCCAAATTATCCAAAAAATGTGAGCGAATTCATAAATGTTCTCTAACTCTTTAAACATCAAAAGGGACCATCTTCAAAATCCAAATGCTTCTCCAGCTTTCCGCAGGATATCACAAAACTTCCTGGCAGGAACTTTTAAACAAGTTGAGAAGTTTTATAAGATAAAAATATTTTCTCAGTTGACTTGACAACCATGTACAATGTTAGTGGAGAGTTTATTTGCACAAGGCTCTTTGTCAAAATGAATTTAAACTGAGATTATTAAACTGTAGCTCCATTGCACAGTATGAGGAGAGGTGTTGCTAATGTTTTACTTCGAGAATGTTTTCCATACAGTGTGTGCGACTTGGTTATGGGACTGTATATATGAAGGTGCATTTTTGCTAACAGAGAGGAAGCATTTTAAATTATTCAGAAAATAAATCTTAGACATAAATGGAGACTTTTCATCTATAGTTTTGTGATTTAAAGTTTTCTGTGTTTGCCTGGGTCTGAGTCATGGCTCTACCATTAACCTCATCACTTTCCTTATCTGTAAAATAGAAGTCCTGATAATAGAAACGTTATGGGGATATTGTAAGGATTAAATGATATTATCTTTGTAAATGATTAATGTGGTGACTGGCACAGATAAAGGTTCACAATTAATTGTTTCATGTCAAATCTGTAAAATTAGGACTAAGCAGTGTCTCTTGATAGTTCCAGATGTGTGGTTAAAAATAAAAACCACCCTATCCCAATTTAATGATAATCTTTCTGTTACAAGTTAAATAGCTTTAGGAAAATTTAACTAATGATAAACAACATTTGAATCATCAGATCTCACCATGGCTGTAGCTAATTTCTTACATAAGAATCAGGATCCCAAAAGGAAAATGATCATCTGGATAAGAAGTTGTAATCTTCCCAATTTGGAAAATCACATTACACTGCTTTGGGAAAATGTCCAAATTGCTAAATCTTGGAAGCAGTCCCTCTCCTTCTCTCAAAAGGACACATTATTTAAAGAAGTTTTATTATTTCTGAAAAAGACCAGTTGCCTTTCAAAACTAATAGCATTTGTGTATGGTTCAAAAAACTGCATGTCCACAAATGGAGGGGTTGAGTCCATTCCACAGGGCAGGTGGCTGTTGCTGGAAGAGGGTCGCCCAGCGACGTGTGCTGCAGCAGAACCCCTTGTGGAGGTGAGACAGTGACTCAGTCGGGCTGCATCGGAACCATATGGTTAGTGCATGAAGGCATCTTTATCAGTCTGGAGGACTGTGCCCTATGTACAATTTCATATTTTGATTTAACATCCGAACAAAGTAAATTCTTGCCGTTATCATTTACTTGGCTTTCCATAAGTTTCTGCTTTCACTAGAGTCAGCAGACACAGCAAATTGCCTTTAACGATGGTTATCTCTTTGTGTTTTTGTTTTTGTTTTTTTGACAAATTAGAGAGATAAGATAAAATTTCTCTGATTTACTGCCCCAGTTAGGGAGAAAAAAGTTATAGGTTCCTACTATTTTCTAGGCACTGTGCCAGGCATTTTACATTGTCCTCATGTAATTTTCACAACCAGTCCGGAAAGTGTATTTAACAAATGAATAAACTAAGGCATGTTTATTTCTTTATTATTATTTAAATTGCCTCTGGTCACATGAATAAAGGAGAGATACACATTTCAAATCTTAACTCCTACGTCTTTCTCTCTACCCCTCAGTAAGTGAACTGGCCCCTAGCTACTCTATATCATCTCTTACTTTTCCTCTTTATCTTTAAAGTAAGAAAAACATTTTTCTTTCTATTCTTTCTGTCAATCATTCTATGTATTGATACAGACCCTATGTAAGGACATTAATTGGATTAGGAAAGAGAAATACAGCTTACCATAGAGCTGAATTTTTCTAATACTAAAAGTGAAAAATGATATTCAAGAATGTATTTTTAGTTTTATTTAAACCATTATTTCCATAGTCTTCAAGTTAGCAAACATAATGAACTTTTAATTCATTACTCTTCTTCATAAATTAATTCCACCTATATCATTTTCTGCTTTCAAAAATATATTCCATGTAACAATTTATTTAACTGAAAATGTAATTCAATAATCTTGAAAATTTTTATTTTTATATGAGGAAATGTGGGTAGTTATGATTTCCTTCAGCAACTTCTAAAACAATTTTTATTAATGTTTTAAAATATAATATAGATATTCTTGTTATTCACAATTTTTTACTACAAAAGAATACTTCAGTTATTATCTAGATCATTACACAATGAGAAAAGGGAGCATTGGACTCTCTTGCCATCAGCTCAGACTTAACATGTACAAAACTAAACTTTCCTCTTTCTGCTTCATCAGTCTTCATTCTCTAACGAACAATCACTTTAATGGCTTCCTTATGAGGATTCACAGGAGATTGTATGAAATTTTTACTGAAATAGAAGTGATTCTACATGCTGACTTGGTTCAACATTTAAATATCATTTATAGAGTATGATTCCAATATGCTAGGATCTTAGAGAGCTCCTATATCCTAGAGAAACTGCAGAGATAACCGAAAGTAAAAATGAACGATCCGATGTAGAAAACACTGTAGTAATGATGTTTACAGAATCCTGTGGTGGGTAAAAGAGATGGTACCCATAGGTGAGGTAGGAGTTAGTGGGAGGAAACCTCCTGAAGGTAATCTACACTAACCTTAAATATTATGCAGAATATATCCAGGGACAGACATTGTTAGATATGGCGGGGAGGGAGTAGAATTCATAGACATCGAATGTGTAATGGTGATTCTAGAGCCCGTCTCTTCAGTTCAAACATCACTACTTTCCACTTTCTTACTCTATGACCTTGGGAAAATGTCTTCTCATCAGTAAAAAGGGTATTATAATAGTTGCTCCCTCATAGCCTTGTTTCATTCAAGCTTATAAACCCTTTTTTATGGTATATGACACATAGAAAATGACACATTGAAATTGCAAGGAATAAGAAACAACATAATGTTTGGGAAACTGCAAATCATTTGCTGTTGCTGAAAAGAAATGCAATAAATGGCTTGGAAGAAGACTAAGAAACTGTGTACCATGTTAAAGACCTGGAAATTGCTATATAGGTAATGGAAAAGCAGAGAAATGGCAGCCTAATTGTGTTTTAAATAGATCTCACTGGAGCAGGTTAGGAGGAGAAGGGAGAATGTTGCCAAAGAGAGGCACAGAACCCAGTCAGCCTACCATAGTAATTGTCAAGACTAAGTATTTCTTATTACCCTCTTTAATAGTAACAAAAGGAATTGAAGGGAGTTGAAAGAAATATTTAGAAAGTAGATTGGCAGGGCTTGCCCCTAACAATTAGTAAATAAAATACTGTGGATGATAATTTGATAGAGGAAGGAGTAAATGATGACCTGAAGATCCTTGATTTGGCAAACTGGATGGCTAGAAAAGGCACACAAAAAAGAGAACAAGAGAGAAAGAGAAGACAGGAGTGCAGAGAGGTTTGACCTACTGAATTTAACATTCTTCTGGTGAGTTCAGTTGAAGATAAGTCAAAGTTTGAGAATAGAGTTCCAACTTAAAGCCATAGATTCAGGATTCCATAGAAAAGATAAAGAAAAAGAAGCACACAGGTTTCCCAGGGACACTTTGTGTTTTATGATGAGAAGACAGTCTAATGAAGCAAATGGGGAAAATAATACTTTAATGTGGTTTCAGATTTAATAAAAGAATGAATAAAGGATCTTCAGGCAGAGCAAAAATCTAGTGTGTTTAAAGGAAAACTCACTATTTCTATGTGTCTCCCACATACCACTATGTGGAAAATGTGCCTATAGATCATTTGGATGTATGTGAACTGAGCATGTTCTTTACTAGATTGATTGGGAAAATGCTTTTTTACTAAATAAAAATACTGATTTTTTCTAGATCATAAAATTTTAAAAATCAATCTGAAATCTGATTTTATTTTGGCCTTTAAAACTAATTTCTCTCCCATCATTTTACATATTTAGATGTTATTTAATGGCACTTACATCAACAGGTTAAAATATTTATCTGATAGAATTTTTAAATTTTAATTATGTTCTGAACCAGCATGGGCATTAATCACGACAATGACCACCCGTCATGTGCTGATGGTCTTCATATCATGTCTGGTGAATGGATTAAAGGACAAAATCTTGGTGATGTTTCATGGTCCCGATGTAGCAAGGAAGACTTGGAAAGATTTCTCAGGTACTGAGGTCCCTTGCCGTTGTCATGTCATCAACGTGTATGTGTGCCTGCTTCCTCTACCAGCCTGGGAAGGTGACGATGGGAGCAGAAAGGACGCCGGGTGAGGAATCTAGGCGCTTGGTTCCAATCCTGGCTCTCTACTGACTCACAGTGAGGATTGGGGCATATTGTTTCACCCCCATGCTTCTTAGTTTCCACATTTTCAAATAAGAGGATTGGCAAGATGATTTGTAAGGTTGAAAATTATATAATGATTTAAAAAAAAGATCTGTCATAGTATTTAATTGCCTCTTTTTTTTTTTAATGGGGGAGGTAATTAGGTTTATTTATATGTTTAGTGGAGGTACTGGGGATTGAACCCAGGACCTCGTGCATGTTAGGCATGTGCTCTACCACTGAGCTATACCTTCCAGCTGCCTCTAAAATTTCACAGTGGAAATATTCTCATTGCTCATGGCTCAGCCCATGGGTTGTTATCTCAAAGAACCTCTTTAACAAAAACTCCACCTTTCCACTGTGGTAGTTCTAAACTCTGAATCTTTTTTCATTATTACATATTTTTCACCATTATAATAGTCCTTTATTCTCCTCTTTTGCACCTTCAATGGTGGTAACACTTAGCTTCCGCCTGGTTGGGAAAAGAATATTACTGTTCTAATTTTCATTTTAAAGCTCTTGTTCTGTATTCCTTCAGTAATGGAAGGGGCAGCTGAAACAGTCCCAGGAGGTGATATGTGAGGTACTAGTCAGTCACTGAGAGAGAGATGCTTAAAGTATCCAAAAGAATAAGTAAGAAATTTAGGAACACCCAGCTAGCTAAATTCACTACACAGGCCAACTTTATGTATTTTTCCAGACCATTTAAATAGGCAAGCTAACTTTTTATGTTGAATGAGTATTGAAATTTACTAAAATATATTATCTGTCACATCACTATAACCGTGCAGAAATGTGTGCAGTCTCGTGTGGGCACGAGCTTCGTCATGACAGTATAGAGAGCAGTGCTCAGAGCGTGCAGTGTTTTGAACCCACCGTCTCACTGCAGCAGTAGCCCCTCAGTCGGCCCTGATGCGTGTGTGCTTTTGTCTAGCTGCCTTCTTGTGAATCAGAACTATGATAAAATTAAATGTTACCTCGTAAATGGAAGTTGCAGTACCATCTCAAGTACAAAAATATTTATGCTGTTAATAGTCACTTGACAGTGCTTTCCGTACATTCTTTTAAAAATCCCTGAAAATAGTAGATTTCTCACCTTCATACATTACTTTTGGGCAAGTTATTCTCTGAGTCTGAGCTGCTTCATCTTATAAATGTGTAAAATAATACCCATGTCACAGTGTTAATGTAGATTAGCTGAGTTAGTCCATATGAAAGACGTTTATAAACTAAAATGTTCTGGTAACTTGACCAGTTTTAATTATTATTAGGATCATCTTAATAATTATAAATAAATGATTCTTCTGTATGGGATAATGGCTATAAGCATTCAGTAGTAGCTATAACTATGTAAAAACATATTTTTAGTAGTATCAGAATATTTCCTGTTCCTGTGTTAACTGATTCTAACAGCTTTTTGCATTAAATCCAAAATTTTACACGTATCTGCATGTTGCCAGGTCAAAGGCCAGTAACTGCTTGCTACAGACAAACCCCCAGAGTGTCAATTCCGTGATGGTTCCCTCCAAGTTGCCAGAGATGATGTACACAGCTGACGAGCAGTGTCAGATTCTCTTTGGGCCTTTGGCTTCCTTTTGTCAAGAGATGCAGGTAAGAGTTGAATCCAGGTGGGATTTTCTGAATGTATGTTCACACTCATTATTTAGAAGTACTGACTGGAGGCAAAGAAGATGACTTCATGTTAGAGTTTGTGGCTCCAGAGCACCCCAGGTGCTTTGTTGGAAAGAAGGATTTTCTAAGAAAAGGCTTCTGCATTTCTCCCCTGACATTTTGAAAATGATAGAAATGGGTGTCAGGAAGGAATGACCTAAGAACTTCTACTTGGAAAACGGCACTGAATTCAGGGAAGTCTTTGCATTATGCCAGTTCAATGCTTTTATTTTAAATCTCTTACTGTTTTACTTGCTGGGTAACTGGGTGAAATGTAATAATAAAAAAATATATATAAATGTGTAATTTTGGAGAAAGGATTATATCTTTTAATCCTGGCAATAAAATGTTGAAAATATACTACATAAGAATCAAAATTCGAGAGTACGTTTCTTAACAGTTAAACCAGAGGGAAAGGGTAAATGGCTGGTGGAGAACAAAGCAGTGTCTGTATATTGTATTCAGACTGTCACTAGTTACTGAGGCCAGTTGTCCCATTCTAGAAAACTCTGAACTCTGAACAACTGAGCAAAATGACCTTAATTGATGTCAGAATTTTAGCTATACTTACATTTCCCTTTTTCTTTTCTCTTCTCCTCCTGCAGCTCAGCCCCTAGCTGCTCATTTTTTCCTACCTTTTTCCAGCATCCATACTCACCCACCTTTTGTATTTCAGGATAAACCGATAGGCACCTTAGACTGAATTGTTAGCTGTGTTTCGCTGTACCTAATTTTCTGTGATTGCCTCAAAGGAGTTGGGCTTTCCTGAAGATATTGCTGTTTTGGATTACTGGCAACGTAAATAAAATCCATTATAAGGAAAAGATTATCTGGTATCATGACATACTTTATGCTCTCTCTGTTTTGTAGTTCTTATTGAAAGTGTTGTTCACTTGTTTGTTGATTATTTTCCTCTTATTAATTCCCCAGCCTCGTGTGTAAGCTCCACGAGGGCAGAGAGTGTTTCTCCGGCATCTAGTCCAGCAGCTAGCACGTGGTGGGCACTCAGTAAATATTTGATGTAAGATTCAAATGAGTGAACGTATAAAGAAGTTGGATCTGCACTGAATGTGACACGTGAAAGGCGGGGTAGGCTGTAGTAGTCACCTGGCAGAAGTGGACCTCAGAGGGAGCTCTTACCGGTGTGTGATTGTTTCTAGGTATCCAAGGGTTCACATGTGACAGACCCATGGGTCCTTGGAACTTGGCATCAGGTGTGATCATTACCACAACAGCATGGCTGGCTCTGTGTGATGTGTCCTAATACCTCTCTCATCTCATCTACCAGTCTTCTTGTTCACTCTGCTCTCACCTCCAGGCCTTCAGATAGTCAAAACTTGAGTGACAGTCTTCTTTCTTAAATCCTCATGGTAAAATGAATGTTTTGAGATACTCAAGTTTGATTTTGTGGGCAGACATGTCTACATGCTGAAATTAGCATTGTTTCAGAAAACAGAGTAGACTGTCTGTAATTACTGTTGTACTTTTGCCTAGGAGGTGGTTTCAGTCCATGTGGTATAGAAAATAGATAAAGTTGATCAGTGGAAGGTGTGCATGTTTTACCAAGTACTCCAAATGGTAGAGCAATTCAGATGATCAACTACAAACATGATTTTGGTAGATTTTAGATCATTTCTCATAAACAGTATTTTTAAAATTTTTAGAAATTATGTTTTAATTATATATTGCATTTAATTAAATTTTACCAGTTCCATTCCACAATATTTTGAAATCTAAAACAGATGCCACAGTGTGCAAATCATTTATATTTATGATCTATTTTGATTCTTATAACAATTATATGCCATAGCTATTATTCAGTCCCATTTTGCAGATCAACAAAGTGAGGCCTGTAGAAGTTAAATAACACAATTAAGTTATTACACTTACTAAGAGGAAGGGTTAGATAGAAATCTGAAGAACAGAGTATATTGTAACCACTGTACCTACTGACTCTTCCACATTTCTTTCCATTGTGGCTTTTGTATGGGAGCCTGTGTTAGACTGAATTTGTTTTATCTGTTACAACACCGGTACCATCATGGTTAAGAACTATTTTAATTGATTGTTTTATTTTTCCAGGCTACTAGCTCTGTTTATATGGTCATTTCTCACTAACCTACTTGTATGGGCTTTTTCTATCTCTGAAAGCATAACTATTTATTAATATAAATAGTGTTCAATCTGGAGTGTTCAATCTGTTTCTCAGTATCCCAGGATGTGCCTTGTTTTAAACTAGACATTTTGCAATAGAACTAAGTTTTAGGTTTTAAGTATCCAGAAATGTTCTCCTTTTTTCCCCCTGAAATTGCATATAGGTGACATTTTTATTCAGGTTTTCTCCAGTTCTCTCTGTGTGTCATCTCTATCAAGGATGGTATAAAAATGATACCAGAAAGGATTGGGATGCCCTGGGCAGCCCAGGAAAAGCAGCACCTCCTAGTCCAGGCTTGGCTGGAAAGGCATGAAGTGGTTGTGCCCCTTATTAGTTGTGTAACCATAGTCAGAGCTTTCTTTCTTTCTGAGTCACAGTCTGTAGAGCAAGAAAAGTGGGACTGCATCATCTTTCGGAGTCTCCTAGGGCTAAGAGCTTGGGCTTCTATGATTCCCAAAATCCAAAACGGCATTCTGATACTGCCCTTGAAAATCATCATTTCCATCCCAAATTCGTGCAACATGCAAAGCATGGAAAGTAGTTACGTGAGTAGGTAGGTAGGCAGGTGGATGGGTGGGGAGGTAGAGTGATAGGGACTTTGAAGAGATTATTTAAAAATTCAGTTACTGATTTGACAAATATTTATTGAGTTCCATCTACTTTGAGGCACTGTTCTATATACTTACAACAGCAGGAAACAAAGCCCTGCCTTCCTGGAGCTTACATTTTAGTTGGGGGAAACAGACAGTAAGTAAATGCATGTATAGTAGGTCGGTTGGTGGTAAGTGTTTTGGAGAAGTATAAACTTGGGTAAGAAAAACAGGGAATGCAACAAGGAATGGGAGGGTGCGAATGCTGCTGTTTTATATGGGGTGATTTGGGAAGGCTTCCTATAGAAAGTAGCATTTGTTTAGAGATCTGAAGGCAGTTAGACAGCAAGCCATGCATTTGTCTTGGGGAGAATATAGCAACAGGAAACGGACAGCAGATGCCCTGCAACAGAGTTAGGGTCATGTTTTAATTTTAAGATGCACGTTAGACATCCAAGTAGAGATCTAAGTAGGTCCAGGATAGGCATCTGTCTGAAAGTCCCCAACAAGTAGGTGACACCAAAGACATGATACAAAATGAGAACACTAGGGAGTGAGTTAGAGAAGGGAAGAATCCAAGCCTGAGAACTTGATCACTATCATATTTAGAGGTTAGGAAGATAAGGAGAAAGCAACAATTAAAACTCTGAAGAAGTCTACCAGTAGGAATAGACCCACGAGAAAGTAGGGTCCTGGAGGCTAAGTGAAGACAATTTTCCAAGTGGAAATGATTAGCAGTTTCACAAGCTGAAGACAAGGGGAGTAAAACGAAGTCTGAGAATATGCAATTGCTATGTTTTTCCCACTCACTTTGGGACACTATTGCTTGAAGCTCTCATGGCATACCTGAATGCATAATAAGCGTCAGGAGGTAGAACTTAAAAATAGAAGGGGAAGAAATTAACAGTGTAGAAGGTTGAATAGTTCTGCTTGAAAAAAAACAAAAACAAAAACAGAAACAGACCCATAGACATAGAATACAAACTTGTGGTTGCCAAGGGGGCGGGGGAGTGGGAGGGACAGACTGGGAGTTCAAAATTTGTAGATACTGACAGGCATATGCAGAATAGATAAACAAGATTATACTGTATAGCACAGGGAAGTATATACAAGATCTTGTGGTAGCTCACAGCAAAAAAAAAGTGACACTGAATATATGTATGTTCGTGTATAAATGAAAAATTGTGCTGTACGCTGGAATTTGACACAACATTGTAAAATGACTATAACTCAATAAAAAAATGTTAAAAAAATAGTTCTGCTTGTTAAGCCACACACATGCACCTTCCAGTGGATGCACGTGAAGTCACCACACCTACCAATCTGTCACCTAGACTTTATACAAAACAAATCTAGAAGGCAAACTCTAGGACATGAAAGGAGCTGTCAGTCCTTTTTATCACTGTCTCTCTAGCACCTAAATGAGTGCTCAATAAATACTTGTTAATTAATAAGTGAATCAACTGAATGATGGAATAATGACTCTAAATTTTCAGTCCTAGAAATAGTTGATTCTTAGGTATGTAATATGTTAAGGGAATATGAAGATAACCTTACAAAATATTAATTCAATGGCTACACAAACAGCAACCTATAAGGTTGTGTTTCACAGCATATCCATGAGCTAATCAGGCATCCTCATGATCATCCCATTTCTACCCCGTTATAAATAAGTATCAAGCTGCATGGAGTAAAGATTCATAGTGGATTTTCAACGTGTGTTTCTGGTACCACCTTAGACATGACACAGTGGCAGTCAGTCCATAGTATTTGAATTAGATGCTGCTTTTCCATTCTTACTAATAGATAGTTATATACAAGCACTAGGGACTCCAACATTATATGCATGCTGATCAAATTAATGATACAGATTTACCCTTAGGATAGCAGCTTACATCTGCAAAATGTTTAAAGGCATAGCTGTAGAGATGCTTGTGAAACATCTTGACCTCCAGCCATAATTATTCACTCTTCTGCATGAATATGCTAACTTCTTGGACGGCTCTGTTCCTGAGTCCTAAGCATGTGGTGCCTCTAGGACATATGGCATCTTGTGGCTGAGCCAGCTCCAACTGCACTGAGTTATCTTAATAGCTGCCTGAAATTGCATAGCCTGGCTAAGAATACAGAGGTATGGATGTCTCTCTAGAATCAATAAGAAGTGGCCACTGGAGAGTTACGTTATTTGAGTGAGA